AAGGAAGATAAAGGTCTTTTATGTGTAACCAAAAGAAAAATACACAAGGCGGGTTGGACATGAAAGATGATATCTTGATAGCTGCTACATTCAATAAGATCCATGCCTTAGGTTTAAGCACTGATAGCGGGACAATGTAGGATTAATGTCAAAAGGAACCCAATTAATTACACACAGTACCTCAGAGTCTCAGTTCCCAAACCCTGATATATTTTTTTTTTGTTTGAGTATGTTAACCTGTTAGTGATGTTGTCGAGAAGATGAATCAAAATCACGTGTATAAATGACATGGCTTTTTAACGTGCCACGGACAGACTGTGGTTTTCGTGGTTCCTGTGCATATTGTGGTTCCTGCGCATATTGAAGATACTGAAGGGGAAGACTGTGAAGATGGATGGAGAGACTGCGAAGTCACAAACACTTCAAGAGGAGTTGTTTTCTAGACTTGACCAGACTGCAACTGTTGACAGATATGGGGAACCCAGCTAGCTTTCACAATTTGGATACGGCAAAGCTAAGAAAATATGCGCTGAAATTATTTCTATTATCTTGATAAGAGCAGGGTGTCATCAATAAATATATATTTAAAGCAAGGCTAAAATTTGCAGCAGTTTTTCACATCCAAGTATCTCTCAGGAGGGCAGTATGCCTTTCAAATAAGTTTAGGTTCCTCAACCAAGTGGATATAAACACATACACACACACACACACACACACACACACACACACACACACACACACACACACACGCATGCACACGCACACCTACCTGTCTACACAACCATACCAAGCCATAGTTAAACCATTTCTCACAGCTCCTGGTGGGAACACAGGTCAATTTGAATCATTTGTTTTACCTGGGCTCTTACATTTTCTTTGGAGATACTAATGCTGATCAGTAAACATTACTGTGATCTGTGTAAAGAGTTTGGAATTTAGACCCCCTGCACTTAGTGTAGGCATACAGGCTAAGACTTACATGTATATAACAGTGGCTGTTCTGGAACACAAGGTCTTAGATAATCTATTAACTGCTTCATTCTTCACCAGCTCTGGATACAAACAGAGCCTATTAATTGTGCTTTCTTTTATCAACCATGTCAACTGCCATTTGGCTTTCTGCCCTGACATTCTTATAATAACCCAATATATGCATAAGATGAGAACACCCTGACTGAAGAGAAATTATGTGAAGATATGCAGAAAAAAATTCGAGGCCACTTTTGAAGATTTCAAAAGAAAGACAAAATATAATTCCGAATGTTATGTTGATGTGTATTTCTCTGAATAAAAATATGGAAGTTTATACATTTTTGTCTCTGAAAATAACTGTTGATATGCCTTTCTTTACAGGGTATAAAAGTGGATATGTGTGCTTAAATACTCCTTCCCCCAAAGATCCAATCACAATTTTTGTGTTGACTACAGAAAAGCACAACAATTTTGTCTGCAGTAAAAAGTCTATATATTTGTTGTATTTATATTCAAAGGAACATGGCCAACACTACCAGCCTAGTGTTTATCTTCTCATGTTATGAAACTCATAAAGAAGATAAATATGAAGAAGACAGAATGTGTAAGAGACTAAGACAAAGAATGGCAGAACTCATTAGCAGTAGAACATGTAACATGGCTTGGAATTGCATTCAACATACCATGAGCATAATTCACCTCTCAGGATCAAGAGATAATTCTTTGGACACTTTGACACTCATTTTAATAGAGGCAGGAAGACATTATTAACATTGTAGGGTAGTGTGGGGCACACTTATTCTTTTTAGCTGACTCATGATTTCCACCATTTTCAAGTGCTGATTTGAGTCAAATACCCTGAGTCCCTCACTCTGAGTTCCGCAAGGCACCAGTAGATTGGTGACAGGCCACAGTTTCTCAGAAGGAGAGTGTGAGGGGTAAGGGTAGGTGGGTGGAATGCAGAATTGCAATCTGTGGCTTTCCTTGACTTCTAAAATAATTTCTTAATTATTTCTAGATAATTTCTTAAGCTGAAAAAGTAAATGAAAACAGTAAAATTTGATGACTACTCCTAGGCAAAATGAATCAAAGAATGGAGACAACAGGAAGACTGGAAGATCTGGCTACCTGTGTAGACATAAGCATAATATTGACATGTAAGGAGTCAATGGAATTCTCTGCATTTGAATTCTCCTAAGAGTGGGGTTGGTGCATCACACCTAGAAAGTAGTTTGGATACATGTGTGAAGACACACACACACACACACACACAAAAAACAAACAAACAAACAAACAAAAAAATAAATAAATATTAATTTTTTTAAGGAAATTGAGACAAGATCTTGATATGCAGCCCAGACTTGCCTTGAACTTGTGAATGTGTGGTCCTCCTGACTCAGCCTTCTAAATGCCAGGATTACAGGCTTATGTCACCTACCTGTTAACTTATGATTTGGAATTTATTTCAAGATGGAAATGGATAAAAGCTAAAAGGCAAAGATATAGTGGAGCACTATTAAGTGGAAAAAGAAGGAAAGGAAAGTTATATGTGTGACAAGATACATGTCTAATTCATGCAGTGAAAACTGTAGACTTTTCACTGTGGTCCTAAATAGTAACAGTAAATAGAGCCTTGAATGCCAAGAACTTTCAGATAACCAGCAGCTTCAGCAAATGTTTGTGTATCTACTCGACATGGATGGGATTCTAGGCTTTGGGGAAGAATAGTCATCAGCAGAGACAGATTTACTCCTGGCCTCTAGAGCTTATGTTCTACTCTGGTAGAACAACAAAAACAAGCAAACAAGTAAATATGTAGTGTACTGGAGAAAAGTTAGCTTTTTTCATGGAAAAGAGCCAATCGGGATGAGGAGTCTGGAATCCAGAGGAATCCGGGGAGACACAATTTTATAAAAGACAATCAGGGCAAATATCACTGATAAGAGATTTCTGAAACATTTATCTCAGAAATTTTATCTCAGAGTTCTGAGGCCATGAGAAAGCCACATAGGTGGGTTTCCTAGAAAAGTATTCAGGATGGGAAACAGTACCCTCAAAAGCTCTAAAGCAGACGTCAATTCGGTATATTTCCAGAATAAGAAAACAGGAGTAGATGCGTTAGAGGAATGTGATCGATGAACTCAGAAAGATGCGTGACTAAGGGCCATGTGAGTCTATGGGTGACTACAGGGACTTGGAACTCAAGCAAGTGGCTGTCACCAACTGAACCTTCATTGTGAAACCTAATTTCAGACTGCAAACAAATTGCGGGTATAGTTTCTACTAAGTCATACTCCAGTGAAATTCGCACGTCTTGCCTAAAAGCATTTGGTATTGCTCAAAACAGGAGAATGAGAAGTAAGCTGATGGAATGAAACAGTGAATGTTCCCTTAAATCAACTCAGCATTCTTTCTGATAAGGACTAGAGGTTAAAGGCAAGGTTGGAAGGCCAGGACATTACTATCTTTACCTATGTCTGGACTGCCACAAGTCTACAAGTTTCCTTCATGGGACGTTATAGGGAGAAGGGCCATCTAGTAGAATAATAACAGATGTTCTTAAACCTGATCCCACCTCATACTGGGGCCATCGGCATTTTCACTCCAGTGATAGTGTAATCTGAACTTTTTGTGGCAACCCTCCCTGCCTTCAAAGCTTTGGTTTAGAGATGGAAAACCTAGATTTCATGCTCAAGGTTCATGCTAACTATCACACACAGCATTTCTGGGTCCCCCTCTCCTGTGTGGATCTTCATCTCGATCTGGAGCTGCTGATTCCTCCTTTGTCATGCTTCATGAGCAAATGTAGGTGATTTTGGTAAAAAGGATAGTAGAGACAATGTGTGTGTGTGTGTGTGTGTGTGTGTGTGTGTGTGTGTGTGTGTGTGTCCGTGTCTGCACGTGTGCGTGCTTGTGAGTGGGCCCACAAATATATGGCTACCCTTAAACTCATGGGTACTCTGGCAGCTTATAGTCAGCCTATCATGCAGAGTAATAGCTAATTGCAGCCCACTGAGACTCAGCAGTAATTAATTAATCTAACAGTGTCCATTCAAATCCGTTCTCTGCTTCTAATGATACTTGTGAAGATTTTTAGAAGTAAATATCTTCTCTAGGGTATAATGTTTTGCACGTTGGAAATTTTTCCAAGAACCATTCATAAAACCTTTTCATAAATTTTTTGACAAATGAATTTCAAATCTTTGACTCTGACCTTGGAAATTTGGCTGTGCTTCTAACACAGATTTTTTTCCCCTTGATTCTAGAGAACTTCCCTTGTGTGGAGCCATACACCAAGCTTGTCTGTGAGTTTTGCCTTGAGTGGCCTAGTGCTCCTAAGATCTCTTTATTATTGCACACCAGTATTTACCTGTGTACATGTTTTTCCTCCCTTCCTTAAACAGCCATGTTTCACATGTGACTTAGTCTTTAACTCTTTTAACCCCCCTATAATTCTCCCTCTCTTCCCCCTTCTCTCTTGCTCATTTCTTCTTTTTGCATCCACTGGTTTACCAATGTCTGAATACCTCATACATATTGGGGCCATTAAATAGGAACTGACGTAAGGGTAGTCACGAGATCTAAAGGGAGACACCAATGATAACAAAAGCACTCTGGATGCAAATCAAGTATCTCTGGTTTTCACCATATTCCCTTGTGCTATGCAATCCAATGCAATGCAATGCACTTACATCACTGTGGAATTTTTAAAAGTTTCATTATGTTTGCTCTTTCAAAGTTCTTTTCCTGACCCACAATTATTCTACAGACTTTCATGCTTTTCAAATTCTAATTTTTAGTTATCTTAAATAACTAGAGAAATGATCACCAGAGTTGCAATTACCCTGGCAATTCTTCCCCGCACACTGACAGGCAGTGGGCTTTGAGGGAGAAGGGAAACAGGCCTCATGGTACCCTCAGTGAGTGCCGTCCAAGGAGAAGTGTAATTTGTCCTCTTGACAGCAGTCAGAGACTTAGAAAACACATGGCACTGTCTCATTGTATAGAGAAAACAGAGAGACAAGAGATAATAACACAAATAAAGTTTTATTCGAGTTCTCTTTTAAGAGTCCAAAATGAATATGTAGTTCAAGAGTCAATATTAAAGCAATTCAAGCAAAAATAAATACAGAGAGCAGAAAAGATGAATATGGTTTGATAGTGCATCTTAAACAATTCAGGTAAAAAAGTCATTAAAACCATATGGAAAGGAGTCTTTCCTTGGAGTCGTTTCTTTCTCAGAGGTCCAGCTTAGATCCTCAGGTCTCGTTCTAGATAGACTAACATCTGAAGAAGGAAGGGGTACAGGAGGGGGAGAAAAGGGGACAGGAGGAGGGAGGGAGGGAGAGAAACTAATATTTCATGAGCTTTTTAAAACAGAGTCAAGGTCAAACACTGTGTCAAGCAAAGTTTAGATCTGTTCTTTCATTTAATCCTTATAACAATGTTGGTATCACCCCACCCCTGCCCCCCATTTAAAGATAAGGAAAGAGTCCCACAGTTTAATTCATATGCCCCAGTCACACAGCTGACTTGGTGAAGATATCCGAGCCCAACCCCTCTCCAAATATTTAAAGGCCTCTCCGTTACACCACACCTGCGAAGGGAAGGCGGCTCTTACGGAATCTTTGGATCTAGGTATGGAGCTAGCCCACTTGAGGTATACCTTTTTTTGGAGATTGGGAGTAGAGAAATCTGGACCACATTCCCAAGAGGACAAATCTGGTTTGTCTATTTCTTCTTTGTTTCAGAAGAAAGACCTCAAAAGTTGTCGGGGGAAAGTCACAGACGGTTTGAACGCTGCCTACAAGTGGGTGGGCTATTCAACGTTTTCCCAGAGCATGTTCGTTAGTAGAAAAAACGGAGGAGAAAATGTATGATAGACAGAAATGCGCAAAGTCGAATGTGCATGTTAATCGGTGGTCAGGAAGATGAAAAAACTCTCGCAACCTCCATTCCTTAGCTGTCAATGCCTAAGGATAAAGACACTCAAGGAAGACCGAAAGGTAGCAGAGCTGTCCACTAGCTCACGTCTCCATCACGTTCCACAGGCTACAGTTCTCTATACTGACGACCCCTTCTTAGTTGATGAATTTTCACAATGTATTTCATGGCTTCCATCCCTACATGAGACTTTATTACGATCACATAGGAATAAAAAGCCATAAAGCACTAGAGTGAATTTATCTTGGTCGGATGGAAAACTTATTTTCTTCACACGACTTCACAACCATTTCCAAGCTAACCAATCATTTCATGCTACATTAGAGAACATTTTAAGCTACATGTAAGTGACACAAAGCAACACTTAAATTTTAACATCACAAATTAACAAGATTTTATCCTTCAATGACATTCTTAGCTACGAAGACCAGAAACAAGACCAGGAGACACTCAGTAACATTCAACCATAGAATGTCATCAAAAACAAAGGACACTGGGGAGAATTTCTGGAGAAAAGCTCATCACTTGGACATTGAACTTAGAAACACATAAGGAGAGACAGAAGACAGACAAATCACTGTACAAACTGAAGCCAGGAGAATTATTTCATACTCCTGTTTGACTTCCTTCCACACTCTATCTGTGTTCAGGTATTTCATGTGATACCAAATGGAAAGGAAGAATCTTAAAACCTGTGTGTGCTATATCATCATTAAGCCATATACACCCAAATAATAAGAAAGAAAGAAGAGAGAGAGGAGGAGGGAGGGAAGGAGGGAGAGAAGGAAGCGGGGAGTGAGGGAAGAAGGGAGGGGAGGGGAGGGGAGGGAAGGAGGGAGGGAAGGAGGGAGGGAGGGAGGGAGGGAGGATCAAACCCATAGCACCAAGGGTTCACAAGTCCTGCCTGCCTATCTGTAGCCATTCACAAAAGTTGAGGGTATCCCCACCCTTTTCTATGGAAACAAGTTTCTAACTAAGCCAGAAACAATGCTGGGTGCTGAAGTTGCTCAGTGATCTAAGGAACACAGGTCCAAACTCCAAGAACATTTCTCATGCTGCATTTAAGTGGCCTTGTTCCTGGCATTATAAAAACACTTACGCATGGCCGAACCGAAACCCTGAAAGCTTGATGTTGGAATTTTCCATATTTTTCTAGCCTTTCAAAACTCTATCTGAGGTAACTATTTACCAACTCCAGAAGCAGCAGCATTCCACCTTGTCATCAACTGCCCTCTTCATTTAAAAAAGAATGCTGTTCAAATTCGAATGTACAAAACCCCAACCGCTTGAGTTTTTTCCCTTAGGGGTAAAGTGCTAAGCGAGCTATTTCTACCCAGAAATCACTAGAATGAAGTTTTGGTTTATGGGAATCACAAGGAGACTGGAAATAGTTAATGAAAGGAAGTGCATACATAAATTCAATTATCATGCACGAACATGCAAATGATTTAAGTGCTGCATCTGAAACTCTGGTTGATATTCATTAATCTCAGGTTGCACTTTTTTGAAGGAGAAAGACATGCTAATTGGGTCCAGATTAATGCACTCCCAAACCTCTCCAATTTGTTTTTAGGTGAGGGTTAAATGATATGTGTTAAAGTAAACACAGCTGTTCCCCTGCCTCCACCCTTACCTCTCTGCCTTACCTCTACCTCCTCCCCCAGCTGGCAATCTCCCCTGCCTCACTCCACTCCCAGGTGGCTCCCCTCTCCAACACAACCCACCCACAGATGGCTCACCCTCTCTCCTGTGCCTCTTCCCTTAGAGAAGAGCCCTGCCTTGTTCTTTTTGGAAACACATGGAAGAAATGACCCCTCTTCTTAGCCACTTCAATGCCTTCCCTTTCATCAGGAACCCCCACACTCTATAAAGGGGATCATCCAGATTCCTGCCCCCAGTGATGCTTAACTGTGGCACCAAACACATGTACCAATGGGAAAGCAGCCTGGCGTTTTCTCAAATAATGCATTCTTTCTACATGTCTTTGCCTTGGCCCTTTGGAATAGGATTGATGGATTGTTTGAAAGACGCCAGGCACAGGATTGCTGGGAGCCAAAATTGCTTAAGGTTGGCATGGCGATCCTGTGACTTGGCTGTGTGGGAAATCAAAGACTGAGATCCAACGTGGGGGTTTTGCTGCATTCTTTCTCTGTGACTCACAAAGACCCTGGACTGTCCCTGTCCTTACTGCCTAGCAAAATTAGTCTTAAAAGAAGAAAAAACAATATTACTTGCTTATTTTCCTACTTGATGAAACATTAATTTGGCCCACATACAAACGACACATTTGGGGGAGAATAGTGCAATGACGGTCTTGAAATAGTAAACTATTATTTTTCTTGAATCTAATCTTTAGAAAAATAAAATGAAACAAAGATCTACAGTGTACTGGGGCTGAAGTCAGGGACTTTTTTTTTTAAACAAGTAAACATTAAGGGGTTAAAACAGCCATCATAAAAAAGAAGGGAGCTTCAAACTAATTTGACACCGAAAGTGTCATTCAATCTGAATCCTGATTGTTTGGTCACGTGATGACTCATACCCAATTGGCACCCTCCCTCTCTTGGTATGAATTGAAAATGGTGTGATACATTTTTTTTTTTTAACCTTTTGCAAAAATCCAATGAAAGTCTTGGTCCCATCTTCTGGGATCCTATCCTTTGGCTAATTCTCCCAGTGCACGTTCCCAACAGAGCAGAGACAACAAGAACACACACACATACACAGAGACATAAATTACTGGGCACACCATACAGCACAGCACTGCACATGAAGACAGACAGCCAGGGACAGACATGGGGCTCAGAGAGCCTTTCCATCTAAATTGATTTCTGCATATTTATAAATGTAAAATTAGTCATCATAAATAACAGCAAGGGCGGGCGAGGCTGATATTAAATCTGTCAACATCCCCACAAATGCCCCTGAGCGTTGCTTGGATGGGAAATACGCTTAGGATGGTATTCGCTCCTAAAAGAGAAAGTGATTATACGCTAACCAAACCCTAAGTACAAGCTAAAGATATTCACCTCATGAAGCCATTCCTCAACTAGCCCCTTGGCACTCGCCGGAATTATTCGCAGCACGAGCTCTACTTTCTCATTTTCTGCTGTCTCCATGTGGGTAATTTCTTTCTCATGATTAAAAGTGAGCTTGGCAGATCCTTCAAAACGTGGTTTTAGGTGTGGCGGGGCTCCGAGTGCATCATCCTTTGTCTAAGGTAGGATTCTAAGGACGGACCTTTAGAAGAGCAGGTCTCAACAATATTCATGTACCTAAAAAGATTGTGGGTTTTTTTTTTAAAGACAGACTTTATAGATATCTATGTTTTTATATATACATATTTTTGCCCTGAAACATGGGACTGAGAGATGAAATGAACTGTTTACCTTTGAAAGAATAGGCAGGGTTTTCTCTTCCAAATAATCACTCCAGCTTTTCTGAATGTCATCCAGAAGGGATTCTGCCTCCTTCGACTTATCCAACATCTGAGGTTGTGAGATAACCCTTGTAGCATTGGCCTCCTTCCCCGGCCCCTTCATTATTAGCCTCCTGGTGGGTGAGATAGAATACAGTGGCTGTAATAACCCTCCTTCACACAACAGGCTCACTCTCTCTTTTAAATTGAAAATCCCCTTATTACAAAACAAGGGGTGTTCTTTTTCTTCTACCTTTAAGTAGGAATGCCACATTCATCGCTTCTTACAAAAACCGCAGCTGCTTTTTAAGCTACAGATAAATAGAATGTGCTAGGCGGTAATTCGACGCAGTCTGAATGCATTATTTTCCAAGACACTTTGGCAAGGGGCTTTTTATTATAAACTAGAGGGAACAAGGGAAGTCCTTTCTCTCCTAATTATGGATGCGTTTGGTTCCCCACTATTAACCTATACTGTCAGGTTGATCTTCTTTCGCTGTAGCCAGTTCAATGAATCAACTTTTTTTTTTCTTGGAAAATTAGAGGGCTAATGATTAAGTCTTCATGAACATTAATGATGAAAATAAAATTAGCGCAGGAGAGAAGCAGATGCTGAAACTAAAAACACACAAGGGGCTGTGCAGCGGAGACCAAGGAAACAAACCGTGTTTTGACACCCAAAGTTAAGATCAACGGGACAGAGTTGTACATTTTAACTAATTTAATTTGAATGCAAGGAAAGCGTTGCAGCCATCTTGTCAGGCTGGCTCTTGCAGAAAGGGGCAGGGGAAACACATCTGAGAACGCTACTCTGCTTCTGCACCGAGTGTCATACCATTGGTGTTTATTGCTTACTGGTTTGATATGGGTGATAACAGAATAACTATGCTGACAGTTAGTCTCATGGCTCACTCTGACCCAAGCAGTGAATTAAAGAGCTAAAGCCGAAGAAACTCTGACGAAGTGATCAACTTGAACTTCTACCGAAACCTCAAAGATAAACATGGAGAAAAATCCTGAGCTCCTAACACAATCACCAAAACAAAAAATGAAAACAGGAATACCAAGAAACTCCATCAACCTTGGTTCAATTTGGATCCCAATGTTACTGTTTCCCAATAGACTATCACGCCCAACCATGGCAATCGTGCTCTAGGTCTATAGGGATATATTGCCTTGCTAAGGGGGAGAATCCCACAGGGTGACAGTGGGGTTCCAATTAAGGCAAAATAAATGCTGCTGCAGCCTGACAGCAAGAGGAGCTTCCCAGTGCATGGGCAGGTGCAACACTCCGAAACCACAGACTGAGCCAGGCTGTCAGCAAGCAAAGTACTGAAGAGGAGCTGGGCGTGACAGGAGAGTGATTTATTCCTGTTTGCTCATATTATTTTAAGTGTGTCTCCAAGAAGGTTGATAGTGGCAATCAATGGGGATCTTGAGCAAAGTGCAAAGTCTTCTCTGAACCCTGACTGCATGCATATTTAAGAGACCTCAGACCCCAGGGAAGAGAGAAAGAGAAAGCAAGGGAGGGAGAGAGACACTTTTAAATTACATTTGCATTTAAAACTACGCTGGCTCTTTTATGTAGATCTGTCTGAAAATTTTTAAAGGGGTGTATTTGTTTCTAGTGAAATGGTGACTGGATTTTCCAAGTATTCTCTTTAGGAAGACTGTGTGTGCAGTAAATGTTGGTGACCGCCTTCAAGACCTTCCTTACCACTCTGATTAAATTTGAATCAGTTTCCCATCTGATATGCCTGGGAACACAGGATGTGCTGGGCAGGTGCCCACCCTGACTTACAAGCCTGAGTGATGCCGTGGCAACCCAAAGAGCCCCAGTTTACCCTGGTAAATAATGGAGCCCTGTCCCTGAGCCACATCACGAAACGTATTAGACATTGCCATAAGAGGGAAATTCAATCCCTGGGTGTCGATATCTCCATTGAGCGGACAGCAAGTACTGAGCCTGCCTTGGAAATCAAGAGTGTTTTTGTTACAGAGATGTTGGAGGCAAATAGAAAACAAATTCTCAGCTGTGTGTTTGAAGGAATGTAATATTCCTAGATATCCTGATAGACAAACATTATTCAAGTGGAAGCAGATTTTTCACTAAATAAATAAATAGATAGATAAATTACCTCTGAGTACACTCCTGCTTCAAGTTGTTTCCCATGCTCCTGTCCCATTTCCCCTGGGTGGATATTATCACAAACAGAGATGGGCAAGGTGAATGTGACCTTTGTGAGAGTGATGTCCCGGTCACTGTCTTCTGATACCTGTGTTGCTCTAAAGTAATAAGAAAAAGTATGGTGATAATATGAGCCACCAGTCAGACCTCTTGGCCACCATTAAAGCTAGTAGCTTTACTGAAGGCCATTCTCTGACAGAACAAGCATGGCAGCCCCATTTAAAAAATAAATAAAAATGAAAGAAAGGGCCAAAGTGATGCTTCAACAGTCTGGCATTATTCTGTCCTCTCTTTGGAAAAAGAAAAACAAGAAAGAGAATTAAGACAAAAAAAGAGGAGATGTAGGAAGATGAGAAAGAGGAGGGAGGCATCAGTAAAAATCAAAGTGCCACTCAGAACAGCTGAGTGATTTTTTTTTTTGTTCTCTTCCCATGTAAAAATAGTCCTCTTCACATCCTTCTTCGGCTCCTCAAAACAAATCCAGTTGCAAATTCTCTAGGCCTGACTTCCTTCCTTCTCTATGGGACTGCTGTCCTTGTCTTATGGCCTAGGACACACCTGACAGCTATCTTTTAAGAAACAGCTAATATTGTCCTTGGCATTGTTATTTGGGCTTCTTTTTTCTCTTGTGCCTTTCCATCTAAAAGTTCCTTTCATTTCCCAGCCGCCCTAAGAACACCCAGCAAAGTAGATGAGCACAGTACAAACCAGTAGTGTGAATTCACCCAGGTTTAAATCTGATAGATTCAAAACACTTTACTATTTCAGTGGTAAGTCTTCATAGTGACTTTATTTTATTTTATGGGTCCTGAAGACAGAAAAATAAAACAATGTCTTAGGAATGAGACAGAGGCACCACATGCACTCTGTGTTCTCACAGACAAGGCATAGCCATGTTTCCAATGCAGTAAGAGAGGCATCCCTGGGGAGAAAATAGAATCCCTGGGCTCTGTGGTTGCTGCCTTCCATTCCCAAATTCAGGGTTGTGTGCATGCCTCCCACATGGCTGTATACACACGTCCGCACAGAGATGTGTACACTTAAACTCACAACTCCTCAAGTGCATGGTAGCTCCCCTCCAGAAATCAACTGCTTTCATTACATATGAAAACCTGTACTCTTTAATTGGTGAGAAGACACTTATCTTATTTCAAATAGTGGGTAAAAATGAATTTTAAAAAGGTGTCATTCTTTTTTTTTAACTTCCTCTCTACTGATGTGCCAGCTCACCATGTCCAGGTTGTCAAAGGACATCAGGATCGAACACTACTAATAAGATGGGTTAAGTTCCAAAGGACAAAGTAGCAGCCTTCGCTCAAACACACTCTGAAGATAACATTTTTAGTTTATTAAAAAAAATTAGGTACTCCTTTCAATGGAAAAGAATGCTATATTATGAATGGTGAACTTTGGTATAAGTCCATGTGGTCTAGCTCTTGAAGAACAAAACCAACCACTATATATAATATGTATATATATAATATATGTATTTACATATATATATATATGTATATATATATATATACATATATATATATATAAAATACATATAAAAGCAGATTCTTTCCTCTTTCCCCAAGCCTGCTTTTTATCTTTTGTTTTTGTTTTTCAAGGCAAGGTTTCTCCGTGTAGCTTTGGTGCCTGTCCTGGATCTCACTCTGTAGCCCAGGCTGGCCTCGAACTCACAGAGTTCTGCCTGGCTCTGCCTCCCGAGTGCTGGGATTAAAGGTGTGCGCCACCGCTGCCCAGCCCAAGCCTGCTTTCTGAATAGGGTTATATGGAACCACCACAGCTTTATGAAGCCATGGCTCTTATGTGATCAAACTCAACAAACCACTACACAAGAAAGAGGAGACTCTAAGATGGGCAACTCAGAAAAAAAGGTGTCCTCCTCCTGTGGCTGTTTGTCCATGAACTCACCTCCCAAGTCAGAAGGGGGCTCTGGGCTGGACAGACCATGTGGCATGCTAGCCAAGGGTCTACTCGCTACAGAAAGCAGCACAGGGACAAGGGATGGGGCGACGGGATGGGGTGAACTGTCGAGTCTGTAATGTCCTCCAACACCAGAGTCACATTCAGCACGTGACGTTGTGACTATGAACGTCAAGGCTTCCTGACACCAGGAGCTTTCAAGAGGTCAATACATATATATGTATTGTGTTCCTAGCTTCTGTTTCCTGTTCTCCTTCAAGGAGAACAAGAAGAATGGGGGCCTCAGTTGCCTTTTAACATGTCACACTCGGATAACTCCCTTACTTACCAGAGAGCTTGTCCATTCCATTTGGGCTCACAGAAGAAAAGCAAAAATCGATTCAGAACAAAAGAAACTCCTATGTTTTTGCCTCTTTTGTATTTTTTTTAAAGAGTGCCCACAGTGTAGCTAAGTTGAAAAAGTTTTTTTTTTTTCTTCTTTTTTATAAAGACCACTGAGGCAACAAATCACACAGGTAAAAACCTGAGATTTAAGAGGGAATGAAACTTAAAAGCTAATTAAATTCAACAAGGGCTTCTCAAAGGACCACATAATCAAATTCGTCTCAGGCTAACATTTCGTCTTTTGAAGGGGGCAGTAAGTGGAAAGCCGACATGGTTGTAGATTCCATACTGTGGTAAAATAAAATAAATAAATAAATAAATAAATAAAAAACTGAGATGGGGTGAGAAAAGATGAGATGCATGGATTTCTGTACTGACTGAATGCCAGGGCCAGGATGCAAGGAACAGATAAGTTCCAGCTCTGGAGGAGCTAAATTTGAAGGCAGACGGTAAAACGGATTGAACCTTATTACCTCGAGTCCCTGAGAAATTCCCGAGACAGTTGGATGCAATTTGAAAAGGTCAGAAAAATATTTCCTGCGCAGCACAGCTTCATGCTTTAAGGGTGTACATTTGTGAGATGCCAACTCTAATCATTTTTATTGACTTTGCTTTCTAGAGACAGACAGACAGTCTGGGAGACAAGACCAGCAGATAAGAGAAAGGCAATCTTACAAATGAAAACCTCTCTTACTTTGTTCTCTGGTTTGTGACTGTGAAAAATTCCAAGTCTTGCCCATTTGAAGAGAAATTACTCCATCTTCCTTCTGCTGGCTGACAAAATGGACGGGCAATACAGGGAAGCATCAGTTTAACTCCAGTGTGGCTCTTTGCTTTCAATTGCTATTTCGTTCACTCTTACTGTATGCTAAGCACAGGGAAACCTATGGGATGCTGCACTTGATTCTGGGGAAATGATTAAGATGAAATATCAGGAAGTATAGCATCAGCTTTTGACTAGCATGTCTTTTAAGGGTGGCTGTGGGGAAGCAGAAACCCATGGGAGAGAGTGGAATTAAACAAAGCATATAAATATCCAATGAAAATACGATTCTACTAAAGATTCCACTGCCATTTAAGTCTTCCCCCAAAACAAAGGAAAAATGGAGATTTCTCCCTTTAAATGTGATTGATGTTCAATAGGAACCTCCGTTAGCAAATATAGTTGTGGGTCTTTATTTCCTCTCTGCCTTTCTCTTCTTTTCTGTTGGCAGCCAATTAGAAGTTAAAGCTGACTTTTCAATACAGAATGCCATGATCCTTCCCAGCTCTGCAAAGTTTTAATTAACATCTGACTTCTCTTTCTGTGGGGAAGCAAACGCAATCCTGTTTACTCTTGTTTAGAAGCAGAGCTAAACTCTTTCATGGCCCCTAGACCTGTCTGCATGCTTTCCTAAGATGTTCTGGACCCACAGGGGCGTCTTGGCAGCTCACTAGCCCCTTCCAACCAGCAAGCTGTCTTTTCCTATGGGCAGTCTTCACGCTGATCAGTTCTGCAGCTCTGTTACCCACAGACCATCACAATCAACAACGAAGGAAGCCAATCACATGGCGGCTTTGCATAATGTCAAGTACCCTTCACAAAGAGAAGCAGCAAGCTCATTAGTTGGACATCTGAATTCTTGGCACCAAAGGCAGAAAGTTCTTTTTGTAATTGCCTTTCTTTCAATGTTACCTGAATGTTTGGTATTGGTTAGAGATAAGCAACAAAATTTGTGAAATGTTAAAATTCCCACCTTCTACAATATCTTGAAACTTTAAAAAATAATCAAGTTCATAGGTTATACTAGACCTTTGTGCTATAAGCCTCCACTGAATCGTGTTTAATATATGAAGTTTCCTACATTTTCATTTTTATCATTTTACTTGCAAAAGAAAGTGTTCAGTATCCATCTCCTTGCACTGTTTATGTTACTCAAGAAAAGTCCAAGTCTTTTACTTGTGAATATCATTAATAACAAAAGTAGCAAGAATCATTCATATTAAAATGGCAGTGATCATAGAAGATAGTATTTAATAGTAGTGTCCATTAGTTGAGCACTTGCTGTCTGGAGCATTCAAAAAACACATTATCCTAGTCCTCTTTAGCCCTCACAGACAATTTCAGTAAACTGAACTCGAGAATGGGGCCAAGGGAGGCCAGAATATTTGTCTAGATTTGAAAATGTGTGGGTCTTCAAACCGAGACTCAGACCCAGGCTTGTTTATTTCTTCCAAAGCTCTAAGCTTCAAACCATGTTCCACAGGCAGAGAAGAGCCAGGAAGGCCAGTCCCAAGTCACATTGCACACCCTGGAAGGTGTGCCGAGGAGCCAACTTGAACTGCTCATGACTAGTGAAAGCCAGAACCACTGAAACTTCACTTCAACTCAAGCAATTGTAGCAGATTGTGTGTAGCTCTGGATGTTTCCTGCCCTCCTGGAACACAGCTCACAAAGAATACAATATGCCCACAGCGGCCTCATTAATCAGGTTGTGTGGTTCACAGTTTAGAGGACGCACCTGATAAATTTTGGTGCCTAATGACACACAGATTGTTGTTTTTATTTGGGTTATCTTTGAATTATTCACTGGAAAAAAAAAGAAGATGAGGAGGAAGTACTTCTTAGCTGGAACTGCATTAGGGCTAATGTGTTAGTTCAATAAATCATTCTTTAGACACAACTTTCGAAGGGGAAATGTGCAGCTGTTTTGCTATTATCACAGGTAAGTAGGTAGAATAAAAAGATAATAATGATGGGTCACTGGAGTTTAGCACATTAAATAATGCAGGTCTTTGACTGCAGCAAAATGCACCACACATTGTCAGATTTCAACAAAATACAATGTTATCATTACAAGACAAACATTTATTTTAGCTGATTTACTAACATATCCCAAGCAATGGTTCATCTGTTTATTGAGATTATGGCTAAAAATGTCAAAACACTGCTTGGCCGTCTGGTACACGCTGTTCATGTAGCGAACTTCACCTTGCCTTTTGTTGGCTTAGGAACTCCCTCCATTTGAAGAGAGCTTCCTTAAGGTATTAGGTCCCTTGACAGAAAGGGACTTTTTTTCCCCCCAAGCCTGAAAAGACACTTTTCCTACTGACAAAGGTGTCTTGGAACTCAAGGGCCATTAAAATGAGCCAGTCAGTAGTGAGATATTCTAACAGCTGAGCTGCACTTCAGGCAAAATGATGCTACCCGTAAGGACTAAGAAGTGGAAGCCTTTGAAGTATAGAAAGGCATTCAGGCACAGCTATGGACAGGTGCAAAGAGGAACAGGTAAAGAAGAGGCTTAAGATGGAATGAGCTTCAATCTGCAAGAAGGCTCCCCTCCCCACAATATTTCAGACTCACTGCTTTTCTGCAAGGACCAACAACGATGTGGAGAGTCTAATAGGACATTCTGGCACTCCTAAAGTGCTTGGAAACAAAAGGAGTCCAATTTCCAACCAAGAGAGAATGTAAAGCACTATCCCAAATTGTCTACCTTAAATACGTTTTGTCAAGGAATTACATATCAAGCCTATTTATCTTCAAAAGAGGAATGCCCTGAAAAATGTTTTAAAGACGGGCTAATTGGCTAATTTAATTTTTTTTTCAAATAGCAATTTGCTCGTACGACAAATGACAATTTCATCAAGAAAAATCTCCATCATAAAAGTGCTGGAAGAAATGTCAAGCTAGCTTATCACACAAGTTTTTTGTTTTGTTTGTTTGGTTTTTGTTTTGTTTGTTTGTTTTTTTTTTTTTTTTTTTTTTGCTTTACCTGGTCCTTCCTGTGTGCACAGACTCAGCTGCAGGCATCAACACTATCAAATTAACTGTTTAGAAATAATGCTGAAGAAAGATGGCACACAATTAAAATGTGGTATTATAGCAAGAGAGGCACTGACACATGCCAGACCTGGTGGAGAATTGAAAACAGCCGTTTCGTCTTTCCTGGACCACACAGAGTAATTTAGTGATTTCTCAACGCATATTATTAGATTTTTATTTTAATCATTCCTCCAACACTTCAATGTCAGAATGTTAAATGCTTTGTGTACCTGGCTGTCCTTCTCAGGAGGACTGTGGTAGTATGAGAACCCGAATGTTATCCCAGTCCATTTTCTGTGAATTAGAGGGTTCTCTGGAGCATATTATTTCTTGTGTTGGGAAAAAGCGTGGCTTAAATTTTTCTGAATAAATTTTCAAAATCAAATTTGAAAGTTTTCATGAGAGATGATCCTCCCTGGTGGGTGATGTGAAGCATAACCTGAGGGGCAAACATGAAAATAATTAGCATAAAACGTATTAGCATATAGATGCCTTTGAAATAATAAACAGCAGAAAACCCAAATGCTTATCCCCCAAAGAAAGTGATGAGAAAATACAAAATTAGAGTATTCTTCTTGCATGGCAACTCTAGCTTGAAAGCCAAAACGACATTCTCATTCCGTGAAGAGTGCAATGACCAGGGAGGTGGAGAAGTAACTCCCAACTCTTAACTCTTAGTCCTTTGCTATATTTGGTTATCATCACCATGTGAATATTCTCTACTTATCCTTTAGCTGGTGCTTCCCATCCCCTTTCATCATTAAACAGAAATAAAGCCAAATAGCTTCCTTTCACTTCCTTTACAAGCCACAAGTCACTCAGAGGTAAAGCTTATATTGTTTTTCCAACCCCCTTCTTTTATCAGCCTTTCTAAAGTTTTCTCGATGGCATACCAAATGCTGGAACTGGTAATTCCATTACCAAGAGGACAGGGGAGCCTAGTTTGAAAATAGAATAATATTCTGTGTTTTTATTAGCAAGGGTCCACGAACTCAAACTAATTCTTTCTTTTTATTTATATCTGTAATACATGTTACTTCTGAGATAGTAGAATGATGTAGGCTGTCATGGCAGCAAGAACTCGGTCTTTGGTGTCAGTCTCCATTTGAAAATCTGTTGTAGCTCACTTTGGGAAAGATGGCTGAACACAATTAACTCAGTCATCCCTTTTATAAGACACTGATGCATTCTACAGATCAGAAGGATTGCTATGACAAGTATAGGGTACATAGGCAAACTAGGTGCTGTAGCTCTGTTTACCTTCTTCAATAACATGAATGAAGATTCTACATCTTGTCATTTTAGGATTTGGTAAGTTCAATGCCATCCCACGTTAACTTGTGTGTATTTAGAGAAGAGTGGCCCTGGTGGCGTTGAGGAAAGATACTATAAAAAGACAATGGATCCATGGTGACACGACATTATAAACATTTACTCCCCCCTCAAAAAAAGTAGCCAAGGAAATAAAGATCCTAAAGTTTGAATTTATCCCATAGAAGCAAGAATGGAACTTCCAACTGAACTTTGTAACAACTGGCAGAAATTTATGACTCTTTCCCATAGTGCAATAGATGTAAGGATTCGCTAACCCTACTTTAAATTATCTAAATCAAAGGACACAGATAAATCCCTCAAGCAAGAATCCTGTTGCATGATTGAAACACAATGTATCCGTCTCTAGACTGCTATGCATTACTTTGATTTGTTTGTTTCTGAGACAAGGTCTCACTGTGTATCCAAGGCTGTTCTGGGGTTATCTATGTAACCCCTGCTGTTCTGGAAATCTTCTTGCCTTTGATTCCCAGTTTTAGGATTATAGGCCTGCACCACCATGCCAGGTGCTCGTTTTAATAATTAAAAGGTGTCAGTACAACACTTGGAACCCCAAGAAAGGGTACATCCACCGAAATACCATTTGGCTTTCTCAATTTGCCCTCAATTTTGAACTTCTGATGGAAGGTAATTGCTTCACAAAGGTGGGTTTTGGCCTCTTGACATATGGAAGCAGGAAAGAAACAGATACTGCCAAGCAACAGATTCGACGGAAATTGGAAAGTCAGTCTTTGTATATATCTCCGGTTTTTCTACGCGGCTCAGGCCTCAGACCTGCCTTTCCGTAACTAACACTGCTTACAGTCAGAGCTCATCGTCATCACAACCCATCTTTCTTATGTCTCATCCGTGCTTCACAGACTCCTGGCACAGCAGAATGAAACTGGGAGAGAGGAAATAAAAGCTTGCATTTGTACGTTTGCAAGCTGCTTGGTTGTGTCTATGATACCATGTGGCTGAGGAAGTTTTCAATGCTCTGCATGAGCAGGTTCATGACTCTGTTTATCTCTTCCCTTTCAAACTGACCTCACTGAACCTGTATCAAGAGACTGACATCACACGTGGGGCCTTCCTGCCAAATGTCATTCAGACCTCATCTTTCTTCTTCACCGGACCACACAGAGGCTGAGCGCATTGCATTTCAGACTAGTTTGAAAAGGAAAATGTCAGCCGGGAGGAGGTAGCGCATGCTTTTAATCCCACTCTGGAGGCAGAGCCAGGTGGATCTCTGTGAGTTCGGGCCAGCCTGGTCTTCAGAGCGAGATCCAGGACAGGCTCCAAAGCTACACAGAGAAACCCTGTCTTAAAAAACAAAACAAAACAAAAAAATGGCAGTAAACAGTCCACACGCTAGTGTGTCCTTGGCTTTCAGGATGCACAGATATTCTGGTGGCCTGCTTGCTGCTGAGAATGGATTCTCTGGCTATGAAGGGAAAGGGCCTGTTTCGTGAGTTCTCTAAGTACAAATCTATATAAAAGCTGTACTATGTGCTTTGCTCGTCACTGGGAAAGGTAAAACATGCCCTCTGCTATCCAAACAGAAGTCCAGGTCTAACAATTGGTTCCATTAAGAATATTCCATGGTTCTCAGAGGACTTTGCTTCAATTCTAATTATGGACAGATATAATATATTTGGCCTAAAGTTGGTTTCAAACTTTGGACCACATGGAAAGAATAAAATAAAAATAAGCCTTCCCTAAACAATTGCTATTGGTTGTTATTGGCTTATTCACCTGGTTAAGTTCATTTTTTTAATGTGTAGTGAACTTAGTTTTTCTTTCTTCATTCACATTTGAAGAGTGTTACTAGCCACTTAGGCACTCACACACCCACCAACTCTGTTTCCAAATATTTCAAAAGAAATTGGGAAACACAACTTTATAAAAGAAGATGGATTTATTTACAGTTTGTTCTTTTGGGGGTAGACAGCTCCTAGATACTTTCTACCTTGCCTCTATCGGTATTATAGTTTCATAGAAGAGATGAAGCCAAAGCCAGAAGATACACACGCCAGTGGAGCTGTGAGTTGGCCTCAGGCAGGGGGGTGTTCTTCCTGGAAGGCAAGCTCCTGCTCTGTACTAGGACTTCAGCCTTTCCCTCTACCAGTGACAACCCCTAGGGAAATCCTAATTCTTTGTGGTCCATTGTGTTAGGAGTCCTTTTTCAGCATCTCTGAATTCGAGTAACAAGTTATCTAAAAAAGAAACCATGAAACCAATCTCATTTATAAGGGATCTAAAAAATTTAAGTTATATATACACACATATATACATATATGTATATCTATGAAAGACTTATGCAATAAAACCTACAAAATAATGAAAGAAATGAAGGAAACATCAGATTTTCCATGTCCATAGACTCAGGTTATCAGAATGCACACACTACCCAGAGTAATCTATAGATTCAATAATATCCCTATCAAAATTATCATGTTGTTTTCCACCAAAGTAGAAAAAAATAAAATTCATAATGTAGCACAAAAAAACCTTCATTAACAAGAATAAAGCTCCTGGAAACATCAGAATCCCTAACTTCAAGATATACAAGGCTATAGCAATCAACACAGCATGGGGCTGGCATAAAAACAGACACTTAAGCCAATGGAATATACTAGAAAGCCCTGAAATAAACTAACACTTTCAACAGTCAATTGATCCCCAACAAACATGCCAAAAATACACATTGTGAGAAGATTGCTTCTTTAAACTATGATGCTGGGGCAATTGGGCATCTATGTACAGGAAAATGAAACCGAGCCTATTTTATAGCACACAGAAACTCTAAGTGGATTAAGTTCTTAAGTGTAGGACCTGAAGCTGTAAAAGTACTAGAGGAAAACAGAAAAAAAATCTCCCTGATAATGGAATGTTATGATTTATTATTATTTATGTGCTCTTGGAGAATTTCATATATCTATACAATGTGTTTTGAACATATTCATTCCCATTATCCCTCAGCTCCCCCTGAACCACCACTCCACATTTCCCTCCCAATTCCTTATCCTCTCCCTCACACCCCATAATAGCCTGCCTAGTCCAGTTAGTACCGCCCATAGGCACGCGGGTAGAAGGTTTGGTTGTTTTATGCCTAAAACACAGATAGGAAAAGGAACAAATGGAAATGGTAACAAGCTAAAAATCTTCACATCAGGAGAACCCATCAAGAGAGGAGCAACAAAGGATAGGGGTGGAGGAAGTATCTGCAAGCTACACACCTTATAAGTAGTTAATACATGAGGCATAGGGGGAGCAAAAAGATTCAACAGCAAGAAAAGAAGTAACCCAAATAAACAATAGGCAAAAAAGACACAGGAGATGTCTCAAGAGATAACACACAAATAACCAACAGATACATGAAAAAAAAATGCTCACCTATCACTAATTACAAATTAAAATACACATTGAGAAATGGCTCCACAGCTCTCAGAATGCTATTATCAAAAGATAATGTGCTGGCAAGGACGTGGGGAAGTGGGAAACTTTGTAGGCCATTGGTGGGAGTGTAAATTAGCACAGCCATTTCAGAACCTGGCAATCCCTCACTGGGTGCAAATTACAAAAAAAAAAATAAATAAATAAAATTAGTAGGCTGGTGAGGTATCCCTGAGTGCATGCTCATTGCAGCATTCGTCACAATAGCCCAGAAAAAGAATCAACTTAAGTTTCAATCAACAGATGTGTGGATAGAGAAAATGAGGTATAAATAAAAACTGAGATGCTCTCGGGCTTTCAACAGAAGGAACTCTGCCATTTTCAGCAGCATGGATAAAATCAAAGAACAATGTGTGGATGAAACGAGCCAGGCCCAGGCAGGTCTCTCTTCCATGTCAAGTCTAAAAGGCTGAACCCTAAGAGGACAACATGGTACCAGGGGTTGGGGCATGGAAGTGGGAGTTAGGGAATGCATTCAAAGGGTAAAATATTTATTTTGGATAAATATGCTCAAGAGCTATGCATTGAACACAGTGACGATAGTTTAAACAGCACACATGAATTTTTGAAAAAATCACTAAAAATAGATTTTAAGTGCTCCCAACACGCAGAGAAACATCTGTGGGATTGTGCATTACTCAGCTCACTTCAGCTATTCTCGGACATATGCAT